GCCGCAGCCACGGCTCCGCGGCCCGTCGCCTACCAAAGGTGAGCTGAGCTGCCTGCCCCTGCCCGCCTGCCGTCTAGGAGGAGGAGTGATGGGCTCTCTCCTGTCAAACGGGAAGGCAATTAAACGTCTAATTAAATAAGAGGGGATTTTACATTTAACTGAACTGGAATAGATTCCTAATTCAATCAGGTAATTGTAACGCTTGTTAATTTTTCATGTCGCAAGGAGGTTTCAAAAGCCTCGTTTGTCCTCCTGTTTTTTGCTAAGCCATCCGTGCTTTCTGTGGCAGGTGGGGTGGGGGGCGGGGGGGGGGACACGCAGACACAGACACTTGCATTGTTTTTCTCAAACTTCCAGTTCTCCTCCTGGGCGAGGATTTGGTCCACAACCTCCATCGCGTCTTTGCCTTGTCGGACGTACTCTTTCTCCTAGGAGAGGAGGGAACATTTTGTTAGCTGGGTTTGCAGGAAGCTTGAAGGGTGTGTGTATGGCTTGTAACCCCCCCTCCCAGGGCTGCCAGAGGGGAGGGGGGATCTCTCCCATCACCACATTGCAGAAATCTCTTCATTTGGGTCACAGAAGCCTCATTTTGGAGCTCAAAGTCACGCTCCCTGCCCTGGCTTGTATCCACACACCAGCTGCGTCAACCAGCAACTCTCCTGCCTTCACGTAAAGGTTTTGAGCTGGCAAAGGGCTATGAGATGTCCAGAGCTTCCTTCTGTGGAGGTGCCAGAACTGGGCTGAACGGCAGCAGAACCACTTGGAAAAGAGCACAGAACAGCCTGTGCCCAGCCAGGCTTTGGGGAGGTGAAGGACCATCCTGTGAGCCACAGCTCAGTGGGGATGGTTGAGGTGATGCCCGTCAGAGACTCCCACAGCCCTGGATCAGCCTGGGTGGGCAGGGATAGCTGGCCTCAGGCCTCAGGTCATGCAGCCTCTGCTTACCTGAGCTGTCAATGCCTTCCTGCCTGCACCTTCCTCGTCCGACTCGTTGTCTGACCCTAGGGGGGGAGCACACAATTAACATGATGAAGCCCCCACCTGTAAGATCTCCCTCTGACCTTCTCATGGGGGGACAGAGAGTGTCCGATCCCTGCGCTCGATCTGATGGGAAGGGCTGTCAGTGAGGATGATCCCAACACAGCCCAGGCCCTGAGCTGAGCTGCTCTACTCTCCGGAAAGCTGAACACGAAGTGGGTGTCAGCTACACCGAGACAACTGCTCCAGCTGACAACTCCTCACAGCCGAGCTGGGGAGGTCTCCGGAGCTGGCACAGGCGGTGTCACAGGGCAGTGGCCTGCTGCCAGCTCTTATCCTCACCTGCTTGTGGCAACTCACCCCGGTGCCCTCATCCCGAGGGCAGCATTTTTCAAGCACTTTAGCCACAGCTAAAAGCATTTATTCCCCAGACCACAAAAGGCTCCAGGTTCCCACAGAGCCAAAGCCAGGAGCGTGGGGCTGAGCCTGACTCTGCTCTGCAGATGGCACAGGGACAGCGTGGCCGTGCCTCCCCCGCACAGGCACCGTGTGAGGAGAGGGGAGTCTGTTCTGCAGTGTCAGTTCTTGGAGGCCCTGCCACCCACCACTGCCAAGGGCAGGGATAACGAGACAGAGCTCTGGGAGGAGGAGATTCTAGAGGTGAGGAGACCCAGGAGGAATGCTGTGAGGGGAACACGTCTTACCTGCGAAGGACTCTGGTGGGGAGTAGAACTGCCCCTCGGAAAGGGCTCCGGGGTAGAGCAGGGGACCACGAGAAGCTGCAGCCTGGGCTGCCAGGTACCCTGAGAACCAAACACGAGGTTTTACACACACAACATCCAGGGCTTCAACGCCAAGGGGTCCCCCACCCCATCCACCCCTAAACAACCACCCTCCCAGCCACTTTTTTCCAGCCACAGCTGGTCTTTTCCACACTGACACCAGCCAGCCCACAAGCTTTTCAACTCCTATTGCCTCATCTTTTGTTTGAGACATTTTATCTGCATGGAGATCAATGGGCTCTTTTGCCTGTCAAATCCAAAGGCGATTAAGCATCTAATTAAATAAGAGCTTCCCCTGGAAGCAATTTGGAACCTGAGCCTAATCCAATAGAGGCATTAAACACTTGATCATTTTTCATCTTAAAGCCTCCTTGCAAGACCCAAACATCCTCTGGTGTTTTCCAGTCAGTCAGTGCATTTCTGATCGAGCCCCACTTGACAAATATTCTTTGGTTTATGTGCCATTTCTCAAGTCCTCTTTTGTCAGCTGAGCCAGGGAGAGCAACAACCTCCTGCTGCTGCTTTAGGAACAGGCAGCAGTGCCAGTCCCAGCTGAACACCCACCCGCTCCCTAGAAGGACCCCTGGAAGTTACAGGTGCCCAGCACGGCGGGGTAATTTGTGAAGCATTAGGTCAGACCTGATCTCCATTTAGTCTGACCTCAGCGTCCAAAGGCTGTAAAATTTCACACCCCATAACTCACACCACGCCCCTGTAACCTGTTTGTGACTGAAGCAATCCACTCTGAAAGGTCTCCAGCCCAGATCCAAAGACAGATATCCAAGAGAGGGAGAGTCCAACAGTCCACCTGGCATCTATCCCACTGTTTCAAAACATTTTCTCCAATGCGGAGGTGAACTCTGTTTCCAACATGTCTGGCTTCAGGATTCAGACTTTTGGGGGGGGGGTGGGGGGGGGAATTTGGCATGTTTTTTTTTTTTTCTCCACTCAATTAAAAGATGCTTTTTATAATCTGGTATTTTCTTCCTCTGAAGGGGTTTATATACCATAACAGAATGGAGTCAGGCGTTCACCGTCACAGCCAGCCTGGAGATCACTTCTCCATAAATGTCATATCTGTCAAGGTGCTGCCAAAGCAGCAGAAACCCCAGACCTGGTAGTTTAATCTGCCAATTCCTATCAGAGAGGAGCAAAATACTCACATCGTTCCTCTTCTGCTTCCTGAGTTAGGACTTTAAAATCCAGGAACCAAGTCTCTAGCCAAGCGATGACGAACGAGACGATAGGAAGTAAATAGCCAAAAGCCCCTTTGGTCAGGAGCTGGGTGGAAGAAAGTAAAAACCACAGGGAATTTATACAAACTGGAAAACAGCAGCATGGAGTAATCACAAAACAATCCCCTGTGAGCCCAAGGAAACCAACCTCGGAGAGGATGACCTTCACAATCAGGAAGGCACTGGATACCAACGTAGTGACCTGAAAAATAAATACATTTAGGTATCTCAGATCCCTGCAAACTCTGGGTGGAGAGAGAAAAAGTTAAAAAAAAAAAACCAAAACAGGAAAGCAAAAAGTGCCTCCTTACCGCTATGACCCACCAGTGGCGCAGCCTGACGACGGCGTAGGCCAGCAGCAACACAAAGAACCGAAAGAAAGCCAAGACCTTCCAAAACAAAAAGCCACCAACACCAGTCACTGCCTCTGTCCCTCTGCCAGGTGCTCCCGAGGACCTTGTCACCGAGACAGATGGGGTCAAGGCTACAACCTGCCTGATTTCAGTGAGCCAAGCAAAGGGGCAAGGCTGCAGGGAGACCCCAGCCCACCCTGGCATGCAGACCCTCCCTGCCCAGCTTTCAGCCATGTCATCCCCAGCTCTAAACTGTTTCCTCACCTGCAGCAGTCTGGGATACTCACAAATATATCAAAGAAAGAGGTCTTAAAATTGTACTCGATAATTTCATCCTCCAAGTTCTTCTGAATGCCATCCTTGGTCTGAAGGGGAGACAGGAAACCAGAAAGCTATTGAGTGCACTGATAAGAAACTAATGGTAGAAAGAACCCGGCCATGCGGTGACCGAGGTTACCGCCGGGTCAGGTTATGCAGCAGGCATACAAATGTGCACGAGGCGGGCTCATCGCTGGCGTGGGACCATGGGAGGATGGATGCAACAGCCCATTTCACCCTGGGTTTCACACTGAGGGGCGTGAGTTGGGCAGCCAGAGCTGGAGCAGCACGTGGGTACATTAAACACTTGTACGTGGGGGCTTTCATAGAATCAGAGAATGGTTTGGGTTG